GCCGCTCTGGGCCCCCGCTGACCTCTCATATCCCCCTAGGCGTGAACTGCCTGGCCTACGACGAGGCGATCATGGCGCAGCAGGACCGGATCCAGCAGGAGGTGAGGAAACCCCCGACCCCTCAGAACTCCTCACAAAACCTTCCCTTAAACTCCCTCAGAGTCTTCCCCGAAACCTCCAAGGAGGTCTTGAAACCTCCCCAGCCCCCCGTGGGGGTCCCCAGTCCTCCCCCAGTCCCTGACCCCCTCCAGTCTTGCCCCCTAGATTGCGGTGCAGAACCCACTGGTGTCAGAGCGCCTGGAGCTCTCAGAGCTCTACAAGGAATACGCCGAGGATGACCATGTGTACCAGGAGAAGATCAAGGTGCAGCACTGGGAGCCACTGGGAGATACTGGGAGGCACTGGGACACCAGTATGGTACTGGGAATAGTACCACTATGGGACTGGGAGCCACTCTGGGACACCAGCACAGGACTGGAAGCAGCCCAGATGTCCCAGGGGGTGTCCCCCCACCCCCACAGTGTCCCCACGCCCCTTCTGCCTCCCAGGATCTGCTCCAGAAATATTCCTACATCCGGAAGACACGTCCAGACGGGAATTGTTTCTACCGCGCCTTCGGCTTCGCCCACCTGGAGGCTCTGCTGGAGGATGGGCAGGAGCTGCAGCGGTGCGGACCCCCAGAGCCCCCTGGAGTCCCCCCAGGGACACCCTGGGAACCTCCAGAGTCCCCCCATACTATTCCTGCAGCACCCCTGCATCCCCCTCAGCACTCCCAGAGCCTCCCCAGGCACCCCCGTACCCTCATGAGGACCCTGCAGCACCGATGCTCGCACTCAGACCCCTTGCTCCCTAACCCCTTAGCTCCCTTGGACCCCTGGGCCCCCCCCCAACCCCTGGGTTCCTCCTCCTCAGTGATTTAGTCCCCTCTGGACCCCCCCCAAGACCCCCCAAGTGCCCCCCTGGACATCCCAAACCCCTTTGCGTCCCCCCTGAGCCCCCCGATGTCACCCCAGGTTCAAGGAGGTGTCAGCGCGCAGCAAGGAAGAGCTGGTGGCGCAGGGCTTCACTGAGTTCACCATCGAGGACTTCCACAACACGGTGGGCACAGGGGCTTGGGGGACACCAGGAATGTGGGGGGCAAAGAGACAGGGGGCTTCACCGAGTCCGCCATCGAGGACTTCCACAACACGGGGAGCACATGGGGGGTTGGGGGTCCCTGTGACCGGGCATGTGCCCTTGTGTGTGCCCCCAACACACATGCATGCATCTGACACACGTGTGTCGTGTTTGTGCCCCAGGGGCACATGTGTGTGTGCCCCTTATGGATGTGTACCCCTGACCTGGGTGTCTGTCCCTGTGACACGCGTGTGTGCCCCACGATGCACACGTGTCCCTGACGCGCGTGTGTGTGTGCCCCAACACACGCCTGTGCTTTCCGTTCACAGCTGATGGAGCTGATCGAGCGCGTGGAGCGCCGTGTGCCGCTGCCAGAGCTGCTGGCGGCCTTCAATGAGCCGGCAACCTCGGACTACCTGGTGGTTTACCTGCGGCTGCTCACCTCGGGCTGCCTCCAGCGCCACCGCCGCTTCTTTGAGCAGTTCCTCGAGGGTGGCCGCAGCATCAAGGAGTTCTGCCAGCAGGTACAGGGCACGTGGGACACACAGGACTTCTGTCATCACTTCAGGGGTGCACACATGCCCTTAGGGCACACAGGGCTGGCATGGGGCACACAGGAGTTGTCACCATAGTAGGGGCACAGGGGATACACGGGAGCTCTGCCAACAGGTACGAGGCACGTGGGGTACACAGGAGTTCTGTCATCACATCAGGGCGTGCAGGGCACGTGGAGCTTGCACGGGGCACATGAGAGTTCTGTCAGTACAGCAGGGAATTCTGGGAATTCTGCCAGCAGGTATGGGGCACAGGGGGCACACAGGAGTTCTTCCAGCAGGTACAGGGCATGTGGGGCACACAAGACTTCTGTCATTATATTAGGTGCAGACGGGGCTGGCACGGGGCACATAGGAGTTCTGTCACCATGGCAGAGGCATATGGGTCACACAGGAGTTCTGCCAGCAGGTTTGGGGCACACAGGGCTCAGAGAGCTCACACCTCATAAGGGGCTCGTGTGGGCTCCTGGGGCTCACACGGGTTGCGTGGGGCTCACACAGGACTCACACAGGGTTCACAGGGTGTCACGTGGCCTCGCACGGGCTACCCAGCACCTTCTGGGGCCCCTCCCAGCTTCACACATTTTCACATGAGCGCCGCTTGGGCCCCACAGAGCCCTTCTCACCACTCTGGGGGTCTGGGGAGGGTCTCACGTGGTGTCAGTCACCTTCACGCGTGCACAGGCTGCGCCCAGCCTCTCACGTGGCCTTGCACTGCCCCCCGGCCCCTCATGCTGCCCCTCAGCCTCTCGAACGGCTCCCCCCCAGCCCCCGAGAGGTGTCATGCAGCCTCGCACCTCCCCGTGTGCCCACCAGCCCCCCCCATGCCCCTCATACACCCATACGGCCCCTGTCCCACTGCAGGAAGTGGAGCCCATGTGCAAGGAGAGCGACCACATCCACATCATCGCGCTGGCGCGGGCGCTGCACGTCTCCATCCTGGTGGAATACATGGACCGGGGCGAGGGCGGCGCCACGAACCCGCACGTGTTCCCTGAGGGCTCCCAGCCCCGCGTCTGCCTCCTCTACCGCCCCGGCCACTACGACATCCTCTACAAGTGACCCCTCTGGCACGAGGGGCCTCACACCGCCCCCCCGGCCATGGGGCCCCAACCCCACAGGCCCTCTTGTGGCCTCCCAACCCCCTCCCACCCCCCCAATAAAGATGCGGCCCCAATGCTGAGCATGTTTATTTGGGATGGGGGATTTGGGGGCATGTTGGAGTTGGTTAGAGGCAGTTGAGGGGGTGGGAGGGTATTGGGACCCCCCCTTGGGGGCAGTTGGGGCTGGGGGAGTAGTTGGACTGGGGGGAAGGAAGTTGTGGGCCCTTTTTGGGGGCACTTAGGGCAGGGGTGGTTGGGCCTGGGGGGAACGGTGAGACCTAATAAAGGGTTCAGCATGGGCAGCTGGGGCAGGGGGTGTCCTAGGTCTTGGCTCGCCCTGGCGGCTGGACCCTCCACCTCCCAGCTGTAAAGCACCATAAACCCCCCCCCCTTCCCCCCTTACCGAAGGCACCAGCGGGGAACGATGGACCCCTCGTGTGAGGGAGGAGGGTCCCGGTGTGAATGCCCCCCCACACACACACACACGCACACACCTCCCTCCCAGGAACCGAGGCGGGGATGGGCCAATGCACCGCCTCCCGAATTCTACCCCCGGCCCACGTTTACACGCACCCGCAGCCCCGGGTCCCTCCGCACTGGGGGGGTGGGCCCGGCCCGGCCTCCCTCAGGCCCCGCCGGGTCCCCCCTCACCGGGGGGGCGGGTCCGGCCCGGCCCCCCCAGGCCCCCCCCGCAGCAGCCGCCTTCCCACGCCCGCAGCAGCCGCCGCCGCCGCCGCCGCCGGGCCCGCACGCGCCGGTACCGACCCGGTAAGGGCTCCCTGACCCCCACCGCACCCTCGGGATCCCCCTAAAACCAACGCCCCCGACACCCCCCCGGACCCCCCACCCGCCTCGGTACCCGCGGATGCTCCAGCCCGGGGGAAGGACCGGTCGGCCGGAGTGGGGCCCGTCTCCGCCCTTGGACCCCCGGAGCGACACTCCCCCGCAGAGACACCCCCCTCCCAAACCCTTCCGAACACCCCAACCCCCAAAACCGCGATTCCCCCCTCCCCCACCCCGACTTCCCAGGGATGCTCCAGCCAGGGGGAGGGGCCCAGGCGTCCGGGAGAGGGGAGGACACCCAGGCATGACCCCCCGCCACCATGAGAACCCCCCCAACCTCCCCAAATCCCATCAGCCCCCCTGCAGCCCCCCCAAAACCCTCCCGGTAGCCGGGGATGCTCCAGCCGGGGGAAGAGACCATCCAGGGCGGGGGTGGAAGAGGAACCTAGGCATCCGGGGGCCTGACCCCCCCCCCCTCCATGAGACCCCGCACCTCCCACCAGCACCCTCAGACCCCCAAAACCCTCCATCCCACCCCCCCGGTATCCAGGGATGCTCCAGCCCGGGGGGCAGTACTCCGGCATTCAGGAGAGCGACCCCCCACCTCCGTAGGCCCCCCAGGATCCCCCTGAGCCCCCTCAGACCCCAGGGAGGACCGGGGTATCTGGGGCTTACAGGGGTGTTCATGGGGGGGCATCACCTGGGTCCCCTCCTGCGGGACGGGTCACGTGACCCCTTGTGTGAGGCTGGGGCTGACGCAAGGTGGACCCTGGGGCGCAAGGTGGACCCTGGGGCACAAGGGTCCCGGGGGGTCCCCTAACGAGATGCTGCTAATGAGGGGGGGGTTCGTTAGCAACGCTAGTAATTGGCACCCGGGGGGGCCTGGACACCTGGGTCCTGGCAGGTTTTGCACAAGGGGGGCTGTCACATGAGGACCCCCCAGCTCACACTCCCTCCTCACTGAAAGCGGCCCCCCCCGGCAGGGCGGGGGGGCCATGGAGAACCGGCACCGGTAGCCTTGGCCTCGCATGAGGACCCATCGCACAGGGACAACCGTTGCACGAGAACCGAGGTGGACCCAGGTAGGGCCCTACCCCACCACACCTGGACACCTGGGCCCCCCTATGACGGTGGGGGCATGGGGGGTCCCTACTCTGGATATGGGGTCAGGGGAATCCCCTACAGGGGATGGGCTTGAAGGGGTCTGCAAACTGTAGTGTTGAGGAGGTGCCCTATAATGGGAGGGAGGGGTGTCCCTGCCCTTTCTATGGGGTCTGGGTGGGCATTCTGGGGCCCCTATGATGAAGGGGTGCTGAGGCAGGGGCACCTGCCCTATATATGGGATCAGCGTGGGGCTGGGTCACGGCACCCAGGTCCTCCAGGGTGCATCCCCATCCCACTGTCATGACACCTCCCCCCAACCCACCGGACCCCCCCCCCCCCCATGGCCCCCCCTCCCCCCCTCCTCCACCTCCCTCCCCCGCCCTGGGCGCTGCGGGGGGGGCCGCCCCGGTGCCTGGCTGCTGTCACCGCTGTCGTCCTCGTCGCCATCGCGGCTGTTGCGGCCTGTCCCGCCGTGTGCCGCTGCGCCGGCGGCCGCGTCTACTGCAACGACCGGGGGCTGACGGCCGTGCCTGAGGGGCTCCCGCCCGGCGCCACCACCCTGTTCCTGCAGAACAACCGGATCGGTGACGCGGGGATCCCAGCGCGGCTGGGCCGGCTGCCGGCCCTGCGCGTGCTCTACCTGTACGCCAACGCGTTGGAGCAGCTGCCGGCACACCTGCCGCCGGCACTGCGGGAGCTGCATCTGCAGGAGAACAACGTGCGCGGGCTGTGCCGGCGGGCGCTGGCGCGGGCACCGCTGCTTGAGCGCCTGCACCTGGATGACAACTCGGTGTCGGCAGCCGGGATCGAGGAGGACGCCTTCGCCGAGAACCGCCGCCTGCGCCTCCTCTTCCTCTCACGCAACCACCTGAGCAGCGTGCCGGCCGGGCTGCCACCGGCACTGGAGGAGCTGCGCCTGGACGACAACCGCATCCACACCATCCCGCTGCGCGCCTTCGAGGGGCTGCCGGCGCTGCGGCGCCTGGTGCTGGACGGGAACCTGCTGGCCAACCAGCGCATGGCCGACGACACCTTCAGCCGCCTGGGCAACCTGAGCGAGCTCTCGCTGGGCCGCAACGCGCTCGCGGCCCCGCCGGCCAACTTGCCCCGTGCGCGGCTGCGCCGGCTCTCGCTGGCCGCCAACGCCATCAGCCACGTGCCAGCTGGTGCACTGGCACGGATGAGGGCACTGGAGCGACTGGACCTGTCGGACAACAACCTGACAACACTGCCACGGGGGCTCTTTGATGACCTGGGCAGCCTGAGCCACCTGGGGCTGCGCAACAACCCCTGGTTCTGTGGCTGCAACCTGGCCTGGCTCCGGGACTGGCTGCGCCGGCGCGCGCCGCCACGCCTCGAGGTGCGCGGGCTACTGTGCCAGGCACCCGCGCGGCTGCGGGGGCTGCCGGTGGGTGAGCTGCAGGGGGAGATGGACGCCTGTGACACCCCCGCTGCAGGGGTCGGGGGGGCTTCCCCCGGCATCGCAGCCGTGTCCCCAGCGGCCTCAAATGGCGCCATGGCCGCCTCGCCAGGGGCTGCGGCCACGCCAGGGCTGTGGGTGCAGGCGGCACCGGGGGGGGCCCTGCGGGTGCGGTGGCCGCCGGCCCCCCCCGGCGCATCCCTGCGGCTGAGCTGGCTGCGGCCCGGAGGGGGGGCCGTGACCGAGACACTGGTGCGGGGGGAGCGGGGAGAGTATGTGGTGCGGGCGCTGCAGCCCCGTGCCCCGTACCGCGTGTGCCTCGCGGCCCTTGAGCCCCCCGCCGCCCCCCCACTCTGCACACAGGCCCGCGCCGGGGCCGGGGACCCCCCTCCCGGTTCTCCCGGTGCACCGGCCGGGGACACCCCCACCGCGCTCCCTCCGGCCGCGGCTCTGGGGGCGTCGGCAGCGGCGGCTGCCGGGGTGATCCTGGGGGTGCTGGGAGGGTGGTGGAGGAGGAGGAGGAGGCGAGGGGGGCGAGGAGGGGCGCCCCCCCCGCCCCCTAAAATCAGCAGAGCGGGGCGGCTGCCACTGCGGCCCCTGCGGCCCCCCGATGAGGGCGGAATACGCACCGTGTACCCCCCTCCGCCGCCCCCGCTGCCCCTCCCCAGCGCTCGGGGGTACCGGGGGGGGCAGGTGCCCCATGGCGGTGGTGAAGGGGATGGGGGGTCCTGATAGGGGGGTCCCTCCTCCTGGGAAACCCCACGTGTTGGGGACCTCTCTGGGGCTGTGGCCACTTGCCCCTGCTCTGAGGACATTTGGGGGGACCCACCGGGGAGTTGAGGAGAGGGGTCGCCCTGCACCTCCCCCGCTTCCCTTTTGGGCATTTTGGCTTTTTTAAGGTGTTTTTTCGGCACCGCGGCTTTTTTGGGGGAAAAACGGCAGATTTGGTGCAGGAATGGGATTGGGGAGAGGGACGGACATGGCAGCCTCGATCCCTCCAGGACCTCCAGGAGGACCCCAGGCCTGGACAGAGCCTGGGGGGGTGGAGGCAGAGGGGACCCGGGGTCAGGGTGGTCCCCTGCTGCCCCCCCCCGGGTCTGTGCCCCCTCCCTTCCCCCCGCGAGGTGCCTTCACCCCTCCCCTTGCCCCTGCTGTTGGATTTGGGGAAAAAGGACCAAAATCAGGAAAAATCGACCCAAAAGGGCCGAGGGGAACCCTGACCCCCAAATAAACCCAGCGGCTCCTTTTCCTGCCAGCGCCTCTTTCCCGTGGGATGGGGTGGGGAGCTGTCACCCGGGAGCATTCACACAAGGGGTCTTGCGGGAAGGGGGACGGTTGGGGGATGGTCATATGGGGTCACTGAGAGTAATGAGGTGGCGGTGACACAGGGATACCCTGGGGTAGCACGAGCAATGGGGAGTTTGCGGGGGGGGGGGGGGGGGGCCTGCCCGGGGGGGGGGGGGGGGGGCCGTGTCAGGGGAGGGGGATCATGCCTGGGTCCTGTCAAGGTCACACGTGTGTCACTCAACACCCCCTCCCCACCACCAGGGACCACCTGCCTCCACCCACATGACTCCCCTTGGCCTCCGGGGGGGTGGGGGGGAATCGTGTGCAAGCCCCGCCCCCTGTGCAAACCCCGCCCTTCGCTCCCCCAGGAGACACGTTCGGCAGCCAGACCTCCGCGCCGCCAGGGGGAGCATTCCCGCCTCCACCCACCCACACCCTCCCCCCCTGATAGGCGTCACTTGCAGCCAATGGAGAGTGGAAAATTCCAGAAAGGAGCGCGGGGCGCGGCCAATGGGCATCCGGCGCTGGGCGCCGCGGCCAATGGGAGCGGACGGGGGCGGGACCCGCTGCAGGCTTCCGGCGGGGGCGGGTCCGGAGGGGGGCGGGCACCGTTTCTCCCGGTGGTCAATGGGAAGGCGGAAGCGCGGGCGGTGGCCAATTGGAGCGCGCGCGGGGGCGGGCGGGCGGGACCGACGGCCAATGGGGCGCGAGGGGTGGGGCCGGGGGTTTCTAGCAGCTTCCAGAGGGCGGCGCGGGAGCAGCGCGAGAGGAGTTGCGGCCATGGAGGAGGTTTGGGGGGGGCGAGGGGGTCCGGAGGGTCCTGGGAGTCCCAGAGGCAGGCGGAGGAACCTGCGGGGCGTGCCAGGGGGTCCCAGGGTTGGGTCTGGGTCTGGGGGGTCCTGGGGAGGGGGCCTGAGGAGGGCCAGGGGACCCTGGGGAGGGACGGGGCGTCCTGGGGATCCCTGAGGGGATTGGAGGCCCCGACCGGGGTCGGGGCGCTCCGAGAGGGATCGCGGAGCTCTGAGGGGCTCGGAGCAGTTTCACGCTGTCTGGGGGTCCCTGAGGTGTCCCGGGAGGGTGGCGAGCGGGGCCTAGGGGGAGCTGAGGGCAAAGAGAGTTTCCGGGGGGTTTCGGGGTCCTTGAGGAGGCGGGGAGGGGCTGGAGGGCGGTGTCCCGTTGTTTGAGGGCCCGGGGCCCCGGCTCCATCTTCACGTTCTTCTGTTTCTCTTCCTCTCTCTCCATGTCTCCTTTACTTTCTTTCATCTTTCCACCTTCCTCACGCCCCTCTTCTTTCTCGTCCCTTCTTGGTTCACTCGCTTTTCTTCCTTCTCGTACCCCTTCTCCTCTCTCACCCTTTCATTCTCGTTTTGTTCTCATCCTCATCCTCCTCGTCTTTCTCGCACCTTGCTGCTCCCGGTCCTTTGCTTTTCTCCTGCCCGCCCCTCTGCTCTCCTCTTCTTCCTCCTCGTCCCTTTCATGCTCTTCCTCACGCCCTTCCCTTCTCCTTCCTCGTCTCCCTTCTCCTCTTCCTCGCACTCTCCCGTTCCCCGCGGTCCGTGCCTTCCCTCCGTGTCCCGCAGGCTCAGGAGCTGAAGGAGCGGGGGAACCGGGCGCTGGCGGCGGGGGACGTGGGGGCAGCCGTAGGGCACTACTCGGCCGCCATCGCGCGGGACCCCAACAACCACGTCCTGTTCAGCAACCGCTCGGCCGCCTACGCGCGGCTCGGGGACTACACCCGTGCCCTGGCCGACGCCTGCCGCACGCTGGAGCTGCGCCCTGACTGGGCCAAGGTGGGGGGGGGCCTTGGGAGCTCTGACCCTGGGGGGCCTCAAGGGGTCTGACCATAAGGGTCCCACCTGCCTGTCCCCCAAGGGTAGTCTGGATGGTGGGGCATAAGGGTCTCTGCTGTGGCAGGGGTCAGGGTTCCCCTGGGGGTGTCTGACCCAAGGGTCCCCCTTTGCTCCCCTTTTCCAGGGGTACTCACGGAAGGCAGCAGCGCTGGAGTTCCTGCAGCGCCTGGAGGAGGCCAAGGCCACATATGAGGAGGGGCTGACACGGGACCCCGGGAATGAGCAGCTGCTGCAGGGCCTGCGCGGGGTGGAGACGCGGCTGGCAGGTATGGGGGGCTCAGCGGGGCTCTGAGAGTGGCCTGAGAGGGGTTGGGAGGTTTGAGCCTGGGAAGGGGCGGGCTGACACGGGACTGGAGGGGCTGCAGGGAGTGGAGGAGTGGCTGGGGAGGCTGCTTGCGGGTCCCAGAGCAGGTTTGGGGGTCCCTGTGAGAAGCTTTGGGTGGCCCTGAGGGGTCTGGTGTCCCTGGGAGGGGGTGTGGGGAGTTTTTGGGGTTCTCAGAATGGGACTGGGGGTCCTAGGGAGGATTTTTGGAGTCCCTGTGAAGGTCTTTGACCTAATTTCAGAGCGGAAACTGCTGAACCCCTTCAGTGCCCCTGACCTGCTGGCACGACTCGAGGGGGACCCCCGGACACGGGTGCTGCTGGGGGACCCCGAGTACCGGCGACTGCTGGAGACGCTGCGCAGTGACCCGGGGCAGCTCGGGGCGTCAGTGCTGGGCCTCGGGGGGCCCTGGGGGGCTGGGAATGGGCCTCGGGGGGCCCTGGGGGGCTGGGAATGGGCCTTGGGGGGCCCGGGTGGGCTGGGAATGGGCCTCGGGGGGCCCGGGTGGGCTGGGAATGGGCCTTGTGGGGCCAGGGTGGGCTGGGAGGGGGCTCTGGAGGACTGGGGTGGGGCTGGGAAGGGGTTTGGGGTGGCTTTGGGGTAGGACTGGGGGGGCATGTAGGGCTGAATTTGGGAGACTGGGGGGTGTTAGCTGATTTTGGGGAGTTCAGGGAAGCAGCAGGGCCCCTGGGTGGGAGTCAGGGTGCAGGTTTTGGGGTGCTTCCCCCCCCCCACGGTGTGTCGGGGTGTGGATTTCTGGACGCCCCCTTCAATGTTCCCCTGCCCCCCAGAAGGTGCAGGACCCCCAGGGTGGGGGCCAGGGTGCAAATTTTGGGGTGCAGCCCCCTTGGGGGACATCAGGGTGCGGATTTCGGGATGCAGCCGCCCCGGTGGATATCGGGGTGTGGATTTTGGGGCACTTCCCCACACACCTCTGCCCCTCCCACCAGGAAGCTTCAGGACCCCCGGGTGATGACGACGCTGAGTGTGCTGCTGGGGGTGGAGCTGAGCGGGGCTGAGGAGGAGGAGGAGGCCCCCTCCCCGCCACCCCCACCCCCCCCGCCCCCTGCCCAGCCCCCCCCACCCCAGGAGCTCCCCCAGAACAAGCAGGAGGTGAGGGGGTGTTCTCAAAACCCGTAAGGAGGGGAGGGAGGTGTTTTGAGGACACACAACCCTCCTGCGCACCTGAAGGGCAACATGATAGACAAGGCGGGTGGGCAGGTTTGGGGCAGCTGAGGAGAGTTCGGGGGGGGCTGTAAGGCAGGTTTGTGGGTGCTGGGGTTAGGGTTAGGGGATTTAGGAGCAGGTTTTGTGATGCTGGGGGAGGACTTGGGATTCAGGGAGGGTCTCAACCAAGTTTGGGGATGAGGGCTTCCTGCCAGTTTTAGGGTGATCTCCCTGTAGAAGGTGCAGCAGGGGAAGCAGCAGGATGATAGAGGGGCTGGCCAGCCTTTGGAGGGGTCCAAGCCAGTTTTGACATGATCTACCCCGTCAGGGACAGCAGGAGAAGAAGCTGGGCGACGGGTGAGCAGGTTTTGGGGTTCGGGAGGGTGTCACAGCCAGTTTTGGGGCGACACCTCACCCCCCCCCCAGGCTCAGCGGGAGCAGGAGCTGGCCAGGTTTTGGGGGTCTGGGTAGTAGCTTCTAGGGTTTGGGGGGTCTCAGCCAGTTTTAGGGTGACCCCCCTCCATCAGGCACAGCAGGAGAAGGAGCTGGGCAATGCCGCCTACAAGCGCAAGGAGTTCCCAGCAGCGCTGGAACACTACACCCGAGCCGAGCAGCTAGACCCCACCAATATGACCTACGTCACCAACCAGGCGGGTGAGTGACCCCTCAACCCCCCCTGAGCACCTCCCAAACCCCAAAACCCCCCTGAATCCCCAAACCTGCCCCCAAACACAGCCGTGTACTTTGAGACGGGTGACTACGAGCGGTGCCGGGCACTGTGCGAACGCGCCATCGAGCTGGGACGGGAGAACCGGGAGGATTACCGACAGATCGCCAAGTGAGTTGGAAGGTTTGGAACCAGGGGTATTCTCTCTGGTTTCCCCCAAATCACCCCCTGACCCCCCATTTCCCCCAGGGCGTACGCACGGATCGGGAATTCCTACCTGCGCGAGGAGCGGTACAAGGACGCCATCCACTTCTACAACAAGTCCCTGGCTGAGCACCGCACGCCCGATGTGCTCAAGAAGTGTCAGCAGGTGACGTGGGGGGTGCGGAGAGAGGGAGGGCAGCCCTCCTGGGCCCCCCCCGAACCCCCTAATTGCTGCCACAGGCTGAGAAGATCCTGAAGGAGCAGGAGCGCTTGGCCTACATTGACCCTGACCTGGCTCTGGAGGAAAAGAACAAGGGCAACGAGTGCTTCCAGCGAGGTGGGGGGGCGCTGTGGTGGGCTGGGGGGGGCCCTGCCCTGCGTCTGGGGGGCACCCCCTGACAGCAGGCGGGGGGGGTGTCCTGTTTTAGGGGATTACCCCCAGGCCATGCGGCACTACAGCGAGGCGATCCGGCGCAACCCGAATGAGGCCCGGCTCTACAGCAACCGTGCCGCCTGCTACACCAAACTGCTTGAGTTCCCCCTCGCCCTCAAGGTACAGGGCTGGGGGTGCCGGGGGGGTGCATTGAGGGGCTGGAGGCTGGCTTGAGGGGGTAGGAGGGGTCCTGGGGCTGGTCTGAGGGTATGGGGGTCAGTTTGGGGCTCTTGAGATGCCTCTGAATCCGCTTTTTCCCACAGGACTGTGAGGAGTGCATTCGCCTGGAGCCCACCTTCAGTGAGTGGGGAATGCGGGGAGGCACTGGAGGGGCTAGGCCCTGCCCTTTTGCTGCTTTGCCTTCAGTCATCTCTACCTGTACCTGTACTCCTTTCTCCTTCCTTCGCCTGTACCTGTGTCCACCCCTCACCTGTACCCACATTTTCCCCTCTCACCTGTACCTGTGTGCATCGCCCCCACCCAGTCAAGGGCTACACGCGGAAGGCAGCGGCGCTCGAGGCCATGCGCGACTACACCAAGGCCATGGAGGTTTATCAGCGTGCCCTGGACCTTGACCCCACTTGCAAGGTGAGCCCCTGAGCCCCTGCTGACCCCTGTGACCACCCCTGAGCCCCTGCTTACCCGGGCCCCCCAGTGGCACTGCAGGACCTGAGAGTACAGCAATTTGTGACTCCCGTGGCCCCCTAGCCCCCTGTAATCCCCGGGAGGCAGCGCAGTGGCAGTGGCACTACCCGGGGGTGCAGCACCCCCTGTGACTGCCCCTGACTCCTGTGACCCCCCGCGTGTGCCCCCCTGTGATCCCTGTCACCCCCAGGAGGCAGTGGAGGGGCAGTGGCACTGCCTGGGGTTACAGCATCCCCTGTGAACCAACCCCCCTGATCTCTGTGCCCCCCGCCCTGACCCTCAGGAGGCGGCGGAGGGGCAGCGGCGCTGCCTGGGGTTAGAACACCCCTGTGACCCGCCACGATGCCCCGTGTGTCCCCCAGGAGGCGGCAGAGGGGCAGCGGCGGTGCCTGCGGGCGCAGCAGCAGCGCTCAGAGCCCCCCGAGGAGCTGCGGCGCCGGGCACTCGCCGACCCCGAGGTGCAGCAGATCATGGGGGACCCGGCCATGCGCCTCATCCTCGAGCAGATGCAGAAGGACCCCCAGGCCCTCAGCGAGTGAGTCCCGGGGGAATTTTCTGGGATGTTAGCAGCCACCCTGTGGTGGTCACTGAGCCTTGAAGGAGCCACACCAAGTCCTCTGCAGCTGGGGGGCATCCCCAACTGTTTCTGAGGTTGTCCTGGAGGTCCCCAAGGTGTGATGGGGTGTCATTCCCCATCTCTCACAGCTCACTGACTCTCCATGAGGTTGCCCAGGGTTGCCTAGCATGTCCCCAGGTGTGTCAGTGGGTGTCCCCAAGATGTGGAGGGGTGTTCCAAGGGGGGTCCCAGGCCTCCCCTGCCCATCCTTGGGTCCCCCCTGTGCCCATGCTGATCCCCGGTTTCCCCCCAGGCACCTCAAGAACCCTCTCATCGCCCAGAAGATCCAGAAGCTGATGGATGTGGGGCTCATTGCCATCCGGTGACCCCCCCAAATCCCGGGGACCCCCCTGGGGCCCCCCCCCGGGTATACCTTGACCCCCCAGGGGAGGCAGGGGGTGCTGCCCCTCCCTCCCTTCATCCTGTGTTGGTTCTGGGGTGCTGTGACCCCAAATAAAGAGCGGAGCAGTGGCCCAAGCTTAGGGGGCTGGGGAGGGGGCTGGGGGTCTCCTGGAGGGCAGGAAATGAGTGGGAAAACCAGGGGGGGGAGCCCAGGAGGAGAGTTGGTGCCCTGGGGTGATTTGGTGGTCCAGGGAGTCCAGGAGGGGCAGTGGGATCCCATTGTACAAGGACAGTGAGATGAGAGCCCCTGAGGATTGTGGGGGTCCAGACCCCTCATATGAGGACTGAGAGTTGTGGCCTTGTCACAACGAGGATGGGATGTGACTCTCTTCCATGAGGACTGGGGGGAGTCCAAACCTTTTGCACAAGGACAGTGAGAGCCCCTGCCACGAGGATGGACTGTGACCCCCTTGCCTGTGAGGCCCAACAGCCACCACCATTGTGTTGAGCACAGTGAGCACATTCAGCTCCATCACATCAGTGTTGCACAAGCCTTGCACAAGTGCCTTGCACAGCAGGAGGAGGGAGGGAGGGTGCACAAGTGCTGTGGGAGGAACAGGGATTGGGGGAGTTGAGGCTGGTGCCAACAGTGGGATGGCGGCATTTGCATGAGGCCGCTCTTGCACGGGGCTTGGGGGTGTCAGGGGTCATCCCCCCCTTCCATCAGCCGCCTGAGCACATCAGGGTCTGGGGGCTGCCCTGGCCGCTGCCCCCCTAGCACCAGATACCCCCCCAGGAACTGGTGCAGCACCCGGGGGGCTGCCGAGAGCACCCGCAGCCCCAGCGTCACGTCCCCAGTCAGCCACAGCCGCACCTGGGGGAAAAAGGGGATGGGGGTGAGAGCCAGTCCACTTCCAGTACTTCCCGCTCCCCTCCAGTCCTCAGTACCTGCTGGCTGTCCCAGTTGATGTCCCACTGGCGCAGGTCACTGTGCCTCCAGCTGCGGGTGATGGCGCCAGAGCCAGGATCGATCCGGAGCAGCTGTGAGGGGCCCACAGCCAAAATCTCATCACACCTGGCACCCTGGAACCTGTGAGACCCCCCCAAAACACGTGGGACCCCTGGAACTCCTGGGACCTCCCCAGTGCTGGCCCAGCCGTGAGCAGTGCTCCCAGTGTACAGCACCTCAAAGTGTGCCAGCCCTCCCTCCCAGTGCCCCCAGTACCTCACCACGAAGTGCCCCAGCCCAAACCCCGGCAGGGCTCTCCAGGCCTCCACGAAGCGCAGCCGGGCCTGGCCTGGGGTCAGTGTCCCCACACGGTGCAGAACCTCCAGCAGCCGCGGGGTGAGCTGGGGGGGGGCCATTGTGAGGGAGGGGAGAGTGGGGGGGGACTGGGGGTGCCCCAGGGACTGGGGGAACATCAGGCGGCTGTACAAGGACGGGAGGGCCCAGTACCTGCTTGGCCTTGAACTTGCGCTGGAATCGGGGGGGGCAGCAGCTGCTGTGGATCTGGGGGTGGGCGTGAGAGGGCCCAGGGAGGCACAGTGGGATCTTCCCTCCCTGGCTGGACCCCCAGGACCCCCTGAGCCTCCGCCCCGAGCGATGTGGCCAACAGGGACTCCCCACGCGAGGCCAAGCGGCACCCGGCAACCCAACGGGCATACTGGGGGGCCTGGGGGGGCAAGAGTGTGACACCAGCTCCCTGAGACTCCTCAAAGACCCCTGCAGAACTCCCCCAGAACCCCTCAAATGCCCCAGAACTCTCCCGGGACCCCTTGAGCCTTCCAGGACCCCCAAACCCCCTTGGGACCCATCAAAACCCCTAAGAATGCAAAAAAACCCCTGAGACCTCATACCCCCCCAAGAGCCCCTCTGAGACACCCCCCCCTCCCCAAAACCCCGGGACCCCTCTAACCCTCCCCCCCCGAGCCCCAAGGACCCTCAAATCACCATGAGACCCCCCCCCAACTGCCCTCAAACACTCCAGGACTCCCCGAACTCCCATGTCCCGTCCCTCCCGTTTCCCAGTGGGGCCCTCCCATAGTCCCTGTGGTCTCCCAGAGCCCTCCGTGCCCCCGCCACCCTTATCCTGCCCTCCCACCCACATCACGGCAGCGCAGGAGGGTCTCGCTCATCCCCTCCGGTGTCGGCACCCGCAGTTTGATGCAAAATTTCTGCGCCCCCAAATCCATGTCGGGGGTCACCTCACAGCCTGGGGGGATGGGGGGGTCAGGCAGGCCTGCGTGCAGCCCAGGAGGGGAGTTCAGGGCATCCTAGAGGGGTTTGGGAAGGCTTTGGGACTCTAAGGGGGGCCCAGAGGGGTCCTGGGGGGAGATGGGGGTTTTTCCAAAGGGAATGTGGGCAACTGAGGAGGGGAGCTGGGGGTGTCCCGGGGTGTCTGGGGGAGAATTTGCGAGCCCTGGTGGGGTCCCAGAGGGAGATGGGGGCGGTTCTTGAGGGGGTATTTCAGGGTCCTAGGGGAACCAAGGAGGGGAGTTGGCCTTGTGTCAGGAGGGTCTGGGGGGGAACCTGGGAGTCCTGGGGGGTGGCCTCAGTGGTCCCAGGGGAGTCTTAGGAGGCCCATGTGGGAGGAATGGAGAGGTCCCAGGGGATTTGGGGGTCTGGGGGGGGGTTCTTGCGGGAAGGTCCCAGGGTGATTTGTGAGTGCCAGAGGGAGTCTGGGGGCCCGGGAGGGGTTTTGAGGTCTCACCACGGAGGTTGAGCTGCTGTGGGGGCCCCCCCGATCTCGGGAGGCTCCAGAGTGACAGTGATGACCCCGAGAGCACGGCCCGGGCAGGTCGGGACCCCCAGAACGGCCAGCGGGAGGACCTGGGGATACCCCAAGTTTGGGGGTTGGGGGGGGGTCAAGACGGACCCCCAGAATGGCCAGGAGGAGGGCCTGGGGGAACCCCAATTTTGGAGTCAGGGGAGGGGTTTGGGGGTTGTGGGGGTACCTGTAGATCTCCAGCTCCTCCACCAGCTCAGGGGCAGCTCCAAGCTCCTCCTGGGGACTCCCCCAGACCTCAGTAATCCCCATTGACTCCCAGTGCCTCCCCCAGTGCCCCCCACCCCAGCCCCCACCAGTTCTTACCCCTCCCCCCCAGCAGTGCCCCCCAGTCCCCCCAGTGTGGCCAGAAGAGGCCCCCAGTAGCACCCAGTGCTCCTCAGGGCCTTCCATGTCCATCCCAGTGTTCCCAAGTCCCCCCAAACCCCTCCCAGTCCCTCCCAGTGCCCCTTGGTCCTCCCCAAACACCCCCCCAGTACCTCCCAGTGCCCCCCAGTGTCCTCCCCATGCCTCCCAGTGTCCCCAGTCTCACTGGCAGCATGGTGGTCCCTTGCCCCTCCAGGCTTAGCTCCAGTTTGTCCAGGGCTGTGTCCAGGTCCTGGGGCTCAAGGGGGCCCTTGGGGTCCCCATCACCCCCCTCTGCCCCATCTATCTGGTACTGGGGGGTGGAAGGGTCATGGGGGGTCAGGAGAATTGGAGGGGTCACAGAGGGGTCAGGAGAATTAAGGGGGGGGTCCAAGGGGGGACTGAGGGGTCCAGGGGTGTTTGGGGCTCAGGGATGTCCAGGAAGGTTTGTGTGAGTCTGGAGGGTTCTTGGGGGTCCCAGGGGCTTCCAGGGAATCCGGGGTGGGTTTCAGGGTACAGGGGTTTTGAGGAGGATTGCAGAGGATCGGGGCACAGGTTCAGTGGGGTGCCATATTGTCCAGGGGTGTTTTGGGGTACCTGGAGGGCAGCAAAGAGCAGCATCTCCTCCTCGGTGCAGTCGATCTCCTCGGCCAGGAGGGCCCCGCGTGCCTGCTCATGCAGCAGCGCAATGCGCAGCCCGCCCTCCTGGGGGCATCACAGTGTTGGGGCACGGGGGGGGCACCCAGGGGGGTTTTAACCCCCAGGGACCCCCAACCCCTCCCCAAGTACCCATCAGGGACCCACAAGGACTCTCTAACCCCCTCCTGAGGGGTGTTTGGGAAGTGACATGGGAGGGTTGGGGGTCCCTAAGGGGTTTTATGGGTCACCAGGGGGGATTTGAGGGTACCTGGGGGTCCAGCCCCATGGCACAGGGGTACTTGAAGCGCAGAAGCAGCTCCTCGTCGTCCACCACGTCCTGCTCCATCAGGGACCGCGAGGCGTCCAGCCACCTGCGGGGAAAGGGGGCCGTGGTTGGGGGGGGTCCTGCGCGCTCGATCCCGCCCACAAACCCCGCCCAACCACACCCGAGCAAACCCCACCCATCGCTCCAACAAACCCCGCCCCACCAAGTCGTGTCCCCGCCTCTCACCCACCCTAAGCCGCGCCCCCCGCCCCGCCCAACAACTCCCAATCCCGCCCCGATCCCCGCCCGTAAGCCCCGCCCACACGTCTAACCCCTCTCCAACCACCGAATCCCGCCCCACTCAAACCCCGCCCACCAGGCCCCACCCCCGAGGCTCCGCCCCTCACCGCGCGTGCAGCTGCGCGCGCCGCAGGAGGAGGTTCCCGCGCCGGGTCCGGGGGAAGGTGGGGGGGTCCCTCCCCCCCCCGGGGGGCCACCAGGGCCCGGAGCTGCTCGGGGGGGCAGCGCAGGGGGAGGGGCCTCATCTGGGTGGGGGGAGACAGGAGGTCGGGGAGGGTGGGAAGGACACGGGGGGATCCGACCCCCCCCCCCCCCCCCCCCCCCCCCCCCCCCCCCCCCCCCCC